TCTCCAGTAACTTTATTTACAGTGATAGAACCTAATTACTATAGATGTATATTTGTGATTTTCAGACTTCTTGAATTAATTACCTGGAAATATTTTGTTTTATGCTAATGGAATTCAATACATTTTATAAAATGATCAAACTAAAGCAATTCTTGCCTTTCAAAGATTCATTTTAACTATTTATACCAATATACCATTCATCAGCTACAAACTGAGAGATAAGAAAGTCTATACAGCATATTTATCACTTTCTTTCTTTAAAACTATGCAAATGCTTTTTTTGTTTATTTCTCTGTTTCTTGGTTTTACAGGAGAGAATAGTGGGCACTGCACCTAAAGTTTTCTGCATGGTATACAAATGTTCAACATCAAAGCATGTCCTTGGCAGTCCATAAAGTGTGTGTTTGTGTGTGTGTTTGTGTGTCTGTGTCTGTGTGTGTGTGTCTGTGTGTGTGTCTGTGTGTCTATGTGTGTCTTGGCAGTTTGGGGGTGTCTGTGTATCTGTGTGTGTCTTAGGGGGCTTAGGGGTGTCTCTGTGTCTGTGTTTGTCTCTGTGTGTGTGTGTGTGTGTGTGTCTGTTTCTGTGTCCACATGCACTTGAGCAGAGGCCACAGGAAGATGGGGTATCCTGTTCTTTGCTCGATCACCTCACCTTATACATTTAAAGCAGAGTCTTTCACAGAACATGAAGCTAGCCTGGGATCTAGCAATCCCTAGCAATTCTTCTGTCTCCAACCCTCACAGCACTGGGGTTCAACTACATGACAATGCCTGACTTTTTGTATGGAAACTGTGGATTTGAACTGAGGTCCTCACACTTGTAGAGGAAGCTTTCTAACTCATTAAACCATCTTCCCAGCAAATACACAAACTTTAATGTGACATATGACTGCCTTAACTTCAAAGCCAATTTTGAGAGAATATGTGTTCCTGATTTAAAGCCTTCTTAAGCTCATAAAAGTTGAGTTTGGATCAACCACTTCACCCACTGTACGTCACAGTTACATCTACAAAAAGGGCTCACAAAGGAATATTGCATGTACAGTTTCATTTTTTGCTGAATGTAAAACATTATAAGAAATTCAATGTGCTTAAAAATATAGTAAAATACTCTCATGTAAGATAGAAACTTACCACCATATTATCAATAGCATAACCAATGTGTACTTTATTCTTCATGAACAAGATACCAGAAATATATTCACCCAGATGAGATTCATTCCAAAATGAAAAAATAAGATAAAATGAACTAAAACACAGTTGTTTCTCTCTGTGGAGTAATAAACATTTTTTAAATATATATACAAAGAAAAATTGTTTTAATCACGTAACATGTATTCACTGTACTAAATGAAGAATGATCTGGATTCTAGTGGAATTAGAATATCATATTAAAGGATTACTTGATTATGGAATCCTAATGCAGTAACATGATTACCACAGTTATGAAGCCTTGTTTATCCAGACAATCACAACACAAGTGATCTTTTCTTAATCACAATGGAGAGATGTGTGACACCACAATGCCTGTGGTTTCCCAGACAGTAACCCAGGTGTATGAAAGACATTTGGCAAATGAAGACATTCAGACTCAAGAACCTATTGCTGGTCCTAAACTCACCATTCCACTCCTGACACCATGTGTTACTATGGCAACTACTATGGAGGCCTGGGTTATGGCTATGGTGGGTATGGTGGCTGGAGTTTCTATGGTGGCTATGGTGGCTGTGGTCTCTGTGGTGGCTATGGTTGCAGGTGCTGCTGCCCACTGTGCTATGGAAAGTACTGGTCCTATGGCTTCTACTGAAGAGCTTCTATATCTGCTCAGCCTGTTGTCTGTGACCTGCTGTTTCACTGAAAATGTCTCCAAGTTTCCTCACATCATAGATTCTTAAACATCTTCAAAAATTCTAACTTTATAATAAATCTCTTAAAAAGTAAAAGTAATGCAGCATATCCTTCTTAGATCGTCACCTTCAGTTGTATTCTTTGATAAACTGTCAAAATATTTTTACTATCTTTATAATTCTTTGTATATGTATGATGCAGTTGCTCTCTCACAAATGTGTAAAACACATGACTTTAAATAAGCTATTTCACTGAAAATATTGCATTCTTATAGTTTATTAAACAATCTTCATCAATTTTGGGTGTATGTTTTTATACATGTGTCTGCTTGGTCACATGCATGTCTTTTGTGAAGGAGAGGAAAGGGAGAATGAGAGGGAAACATTTCCTTTCGTGTATCTCTCAACTCTCAGCAGAGAAAATTTTCCTTCAGTACACAGCCTTTAACACAGAAAATCACAACTGGCCAACATGCAGAGAAAAAAGAAGCTTCAGAGTGCTCCTCCCTAAATGGGATAGATGTGTCACACCTTCTTCCCCAAGATTCAGTGTTCATTCTGGAAGAAGAAGCAGAGGATTCTAAGGGCCAAAGGTGGCAAATGAATACAAGGAAACTGTTTTCTGGATGTAACAGGACAATCGTACATATGAATCCCTAGAACTTGTGGCCAAATGCACATGACTTACATAAGCCATAGATAAACCCAGCATGGAGAAAGGCGGGTGAGCAAGAGGCCCCTATACTAGCTGAGGAAATTTTGGCACTTGATAGCTGCTTGGAGAGGGAGAGTCAGTTTTCTTTAAGGATATGGTATAAAGCGTGTTGACCAGACAGCCAGGGATGGATCCACATTCAGAAGCGTTCAGGAGAACACAAGTTGGATTCCATAAGCCTGAGGGCATGAAATGGGGGAGGGTAGGAGGTGAGGTAGATCTGAAAGAAGATGAGAAACTAGGTCTAAGAATGAACAAAATACATTGTATCAAACGCTCATTAAATATAAATATTATTAAAATATAGGCATTAACATATTGATAAGCATTTTTGGTGTTTTCCGTAATTTTGCTGTTGAAAATGACATCACACTGAATTTGGTGGTATAAATATTTCCTTGAGATAAAATGCTTTTGTCTGATAATTAAATTTTTAGACGTATCATAAGTCAGTGGCAGAAACTTTTTGGTGGCATCCTACTGAAGGTTTTCTAGGATGGTTGTAATAACATGAATCTCAACTTGTATATGGTTCCCTATTCTTCCTGTGTTCTCAACACGTCAATATTGCAGTCATTTTATTGACAGATATAGGGAAATTAGTAAAATAGAAACATTATTTACCCTTGGCCATCTGTAGGATTTCTTTTGAAAAATGTCTATTCTAATACTCTGCAAATTTTACCATCAGTTTATTTTCTTTATGCTGCTTTGTTGTAGACGTTCCATATAAATTTTGGTTGTTCATGCCCCATTATTCACACTGACTGTCTTTTCACAGTGATGCTCGTCCTGTTCTGCAGAACCTTCTTAGTTGGACAGAAACAAATATATCTATTTTGACTTTTGTTCCCTGTGCTTTTGAATCACAGTCATTTTTGAGATGAAGCAAATAATTTTCCCTATGTATTCATATAGGAGTTTTGTGGTTTGAAGTTTATGGTTAATCCTTTTATTTTAAATTTTGTTTTCACTGCTTCACATATAGCTTCAGACACAGGCCCCTTCTTCATATACATGGTAACATTGGCTGCCTTATGTAATGACAACAATTCTACTGTCAGCTTCTCTGGGTCTGAGAATTTAAATGAGGCACAGTAACCTCATAGAGAATTCTTCTTCCTATTAAATTAACCAATAACCATATTTATAGTGATGGAACCTCATTACTATAGCTGTGTTTGTGTGACTGTCGAATTCCCCATACTAACTCAACTATATATTTTGGTTAATGCAAAATGGAATTCAATAAATTTTACACTGTTCAAATAAAAAATGCCTTTAAGTGATTCAGTTTCACTTTATATCGTATCTCCATTTACCTGCTATGTGTTTGAAGACAAAGAAAGTTGGAATAACAGGTTTGGTTCCATTTAAGCAGTCTGTATATTTATTCTTCATTGGCGTTGTTTTGTTTTTCAGTACTAGGATTGCATCTAATGTTCTCTGTATGCTAAACTGAGGTTCTAACAATGAAGCACAGCCAAGGAAATTGTCCATAAACTGGAGAGACAGAGACAGAAATAGAGACAAAGAGACAGAGACAGAGAGAGGAACAGAGAGATAGAGAGTTAGTGTATGGCATAGACACAGCTATGGGGAGGGTGAACATGAACAGAATCCAGAGGAAGACATTATGTGTCCTGGTCTATGGTTCATCAATCCCCCTCATTCCTTTGAGGCAGGGTCTCTCTATGAACATGAAGCTAGGATGGCATTCAGCAAGTTCCAGAGATCCTCCTGCCTCCAACCCTCATTCCACTGGGGTATAGGCATCTGCCTATGCCCTGCATATTATGTAATTTTTGAGGGTTTGAACTGAGGCCCTCATGCTTGCACAGCCTTTGCATTTATCCACTTAGCTATCTTCCAAGTCCTTGTGAAAACTTTTTAAATGGCATGTGACTGCATTACCTGCAAAATCAAAGCCATATGTGACAGCATATCTGACCATGATTTAAAAATACATACATATAAAGCTGGGCATGGTGGTGTATGCCTTTAATCCCAGCACTCAGGAGGCAGAAACCGGTGGATTTCTTATGTACACACACATATATACTGACACATATATACACACACATATATATGTACAATATATATATATATATATATATACACACACACATTCATAAGAGTTGATGTTGGATCACCCACCCCACCATACTTCACAGTTACAGTTTCAATGCCTTCACAGAGGATCACAGAGAAATATGGAACATGTACAGTTTCTGTCCTTGATGTGCTCTTTAGTTTTCTGCTGATTTTAAAGAAACATAAAAACCAATGTGCTTAGGAACATAACCAAATATATTCACATAAGATGCAATTTGCAACCATGTTACCAAATAATATAACCAATAAACCAATAAGTAGCTAATTCTTCATGAACAAGACTCAAGAAATATACTCCTTTGGATTTAATCCATTCAAAATAGCAAAACAAAAGAATAAGAAAGAAAACACAAAGGCTTTCTTCCTGTGGAGTAATGGGAAAAATGGAGAAAGGAGAACACAGAGGAAAATATTTTAATTATTTGTATCATATGATATAAAAATGTAATATAGTCATTCAAACTAAAAATGGACTGCAGTCTTGAAATGTGAACTAGAGTAAGTTTAAAATCCTGTGATTTGGCCGTGGCATCCTGACACAGGAGCACAAATATCTCAGTTTTACAGGACTTGTTTGTTCAGTAAGTCAAGACACCTGTGTTGTTTTCTGAAGCACAGAGGTGAGATGCATGACATTGCAATGCCTATCGTTTCCCTGAGTACCACCAGGTGTATAAAAGGCCCTTGGCAGATGGAGACATCCACCAAGAACCTATTGCTGGTCCTCAACTGACCAGTGCACTTCTAACACCATGTGTTACTATAGCAGCTACTATGATGGCCTGGGCTATGGCTGTGGTGGCCTAGGCCGTAGCTATGGCTGTGGTTATGGTGGCTATGGTGGCTATGGTCTCTATGGTGACCATGGTGGATATGGTGGCTGTGGTCTCTATGGTGGCTGTGGCTGCAGGTGCTGCCGCCCACTGTGCTGTGGAAGGTACTGGTCCTATGGCTTCTACTGAGGAGCTTCCTCCGCTGCTAAGCCTGTTGGCTCTGACCTGCTGTTTTATATCAAGGGTCATCAAATTTGTTCACATTAAGAATTCTAAATATCTTCAGAATTTCTAATTTTATACTAAACTGTCTGATAAAACTAAAAGAAATGCTGTGCTCTCATCTCACATCACATCTTCAGTTAGATTGTGTTAAAATTGGAAAACATTTCATGCTGACTTGATAATGCTCTTTGGTGCTCTGTAAAATGTGACAAATTTGACTCTAATTCTGTGCAAAAACCTATGTAGTATTTGATAAACTATTTCATTGAAAATATTCTTTTCTTGCATTTATTGAATAATGTATCTATAACTTGTATATATTTTTGCAACTGTATGTATCAGTTACATGTGCGTAGCTGTTTGTGGATAAATGAGAGGGTGATTGTGAAGGAGGAGGGTAGGGAGAAAGAGAAAAATAGGGAGGGAAAGAGAGGACACGTAGGCAGGAGACAGAAAATTTTCCTTTCAGCATTCATCCTCTGATGGATATTTGTTTCTTTGATACCCCTGCTGAAAACCATGTGTCAGAGAGTCCATAACAGGTAGTGCTTTAAGTAGAATCTTTTCCTCTACAAAAATTTACAGAAGTATGAGTGCCAGATCACATCTCCTTGCAAATATACATAGATCCATGCAAATACTTTTTATCAGGAGACCTACATAGTATTTCTGCAAGGACTGTATCAAGCAAATTTCTATGGACAATGCAGGACCCCCTTCTCTCCATATGCCCTGTAGCTCTGTGTTTTGTTCTAATATTAGCTATCTAATAGCTGTGTTACTCCATTTTTATCTTGGTTGTCTCTGAGATATTAGTGAAATAAAACATTAATTTATCCTTTCAGATATTTGCATGCTTTCTTATGATAAACATCTATTCTCTCTGCTAAGTTTAGCTTCAATTTATTTTTCTAGGTAATCAGTTTTGGTATGCTACATAAATCTTCTTCACAATCCCCTGCCTGATGTGTCTGTTTCCTTCCTTTGTGTAAATTTTCTTTTCACTTTGTTGATTGTTCAATTGTATAGAAACTTCTTAATTGGATACATGAAAACATGACAATTTAATCTTCTTTCTTCATGTGCATGCGTGCGTGCGTGTGTGTGGTATGCATGTGTGACTGCAAACGTATGCAGGTGCCTTGCATGCTTGTGCCATGGTTTGAGGCCCAAAGTTGAGGTCATATACCTTCCTATTGAGTTGGGATCTCTCACTGTTTAGCGTGACTCACCAGCTTGCTTCTGAGGTGCTCTGCCTCTGTCTCCTCTACTGGGTTTACAGGTGCATCTCCATGTTCTGTTGGTGTTCATGTTGGTTCTAGGGATCAAAGGTCCACTCTTGACACTTCTTCAACAAGCCACTATTTTCATTTTTTGTCTGTGTTTAGAATTTGTATTTAAAAATCATATATGAGACAAAGCTAAGAATCTTTTCATGGGACTGGATAGATGCCTAAGGGAAATTGCTGCTCTTGCAGGGGACTGGTATTTGGTTTTAAGCACCCACATGAGGCAATTTACAACCACCATTAACTCTAGAATCATGAAATTGATAACCTTCTTCTGGCCTCCACATGGTAAGTACCCTGTATCTACCCCCACATGGTACAGATAGCATCATTCAGGCACTCACACATACTCATCAACTAAAAATAAATTTTCAAAACCTTTTTTCATGTAAGTATACTTATATTAGTTTTATGGTTTGAAGTTTAAATTTGTCTTTGAAATTCTGTCACATTGATTATAAACAAAGGTAAATGATTTAAAGATTTTAAAAATTTTATCATTTTTGTTTTATGTGTATGCATATATTGCCTGCATATAGGTAAGTGCACCTGTGTCTTGCAATGCCCACAGAGGTCAGAAGAGGCTGTCAGATCCCCTGGGACTGGAGTTACAGACAGTTGTTAGCTGCCACATTGGTGTTTTGGGATTTGAGCTCGGGTCTTCTGCAAGAACAACCAGTGTTCTTAACCCCTGAGCCATCACTCTAGCCCTATTTAAAGATTTTAAAAACAAACATCTTTCATTTGCCTGAGGATATCTAGCATCTAGTTTATTCCACACTATTCATACACTGCACTGTGGAAGATACAGGCCCTATGGATTCTACTGGGGAGTTTCTAGAGCTGTCCATTCTTACCCTACTGTAAAGAATGTTTTTACATTTTGTGGGATATTTGTTGGTAATATAGTGACATATACCTACGAAATCAAGAGTAATGACCAATTTCATCTCCCCAAACCTTAATCATTTGTAGGGGTAGAGAATTTCAAACGCTTTCATTGACATTATTTGTGTGTGACCTAGTGTGTATGTGTTTGTGCATGCACGAGAAGGCCCAGCACAATGTTAGATGTCTTTTCTTCATCGATATCCACATTTATTTATCTATTTATTTACTTATACATTCATTCATTTATTCATTTTCTTAACACAGTTCATAGTTAACTACCTCCCCAATCCCCTTTGAAATCATTTTGAAATATTGCTTGTTTTTACTAGAATTCACCCTACTCTGCTATATGAAATCACACTAATAAATCCCCTGTAACTGTTGTGGTGTCACTTGCTTTGCTTTATTGCCTCCTTCTTCCAACTATTCCCACTTTCTCAGTCTCAATTGGTCCATTCCTTAACATGGATTTTAAGTTTCCCCAAATGTGTAAGAACATGTGGTATTTACCTTTCTGATAACAGCATGTATTTAGTGACCATCTTTCCACACTTTCACTTTCTTCTTGACATGCTTTGCTCATTTAATCATTCTTATTGCTACAATTATAGCATTTATCTGTGATAGTCCTGTTATTTACATATTTAATAGTTTAATTATTTTATAAATACTGGGCCATGTTATGGTATTTGCATACATATATATTGTTTTATTTTGTCCTGATTCCTCCAACCCCAGCATTACCTTCCTCCTGCCTGCCTCTGCTTCTGCCTCCTGTACTGCGTTTCCCTCATTCCCACTCCCTTAAGAGCTCTTCTTCTCTCATGGTGCCCTTCCGGCTTCATGACCTATCATGTACACACACACACACACACACACACACACACTCACACTCCCAAATTTAAATGTAAATTATGCATATGACATTAAATGTAACATTCATCTTTCTTTAAAAAAGTATTTCATTACACTACTATTTGTTTTATTCTCTCTGCATATGTGTTGGGAGTGGGGTATGAATATGTGACAGCATGTATGTGGAGGACAGGGAACATTTGGGAGATTCGGCTTTCTCCTTCCACTCTGTGGGTCCCTGGGATCAAACTAGGTCCTCAGGTTTATGACAGGGCTTTCAGCCCACTGAACCATCTTGGAAGTCCACATTTTTCTTTCTGAGTAAGACATTTTTGCTTAGCATGATGACCAGTTTTTATACATTGTCCACGAAGAAATAAATTTGAAAAAGATGCTAGCAGACAGAATGATATCTGATGCTCATGGATTGGAAGAATCAATAATATGAACATGGCTGTATTTGCTGGGAATGTAAGATTTAAGGCACTCCTCAAAACTAGTTATACTCTTAAGGAGATAGACACACATGACAAAAATCATAGGAAAGCCCAGGAGTCCATGATAAATCAAAAAATCCTAAATGGGAAGAACTATGCTGAATGAATTCAACAGCCAATCTCAAATACACTACAGAACCATAGCCATAAAAACTACATGATGCTAGCACAAAAATGGAATACATTTATGAAAAGAATATAATTGTCCCTCAAATACCTATAACATCATTATTTAAAACATCATTTTTCATGAGCAAGATTTAGGAAGTATTTTCCTCCAAATGTAATATATTAAGTTTTATTGGATTCATTTTATGTTTTTAAGTTATCATTCAACGTAATGGGTTTCATTGTGAAAATTTCATTCATGAATGTGATTTTACTACTTTGTTCTTGCTACACTCGCCATCCCTTTTCATCCCTGTGACGGATAATCTGCATTGCCCACAGGATAGGATAGAATGGAAACAAACCTCTGGGTATGTCTGTAAAGGGTTTTATAGATTTTGTAAACAGAGGTTGGAAGACCTACCCAAAATGTGGGTGACACCATGTCAGAGCCCGTGGTTCCAGACTGAAGAAAAGGAGAAACAAGCCGAGTATTCTCTCTCTGCTTCTGACTTTGGATAAAATGTGGTCAAGTGCTTCATGCTTCTGCAGCTATGACTTCCCCCACAGTGGAGTGTAGCCAGGACTGTGAGCAAAGTACCCTGCTCCTTCCTTACATTGCAATTGTCAGGCATTTGGCTCAATACGAGAAAATGCAGATGATGTTTATTCTACAACAACAAAACAAGCAAAAGAACACACCAAGATCGTTTGCCTGTGGAGTGCTGAAAACAAACATCTAAGGAGAAAACCATGCTATGATTTTAGTTTTACCACAGAATTAGGTCATATGTGCTCAATAAAACACATGTAGAATGTGGCAGACTCTTGTATGTAGAACCAGAATTTCATGGGAAACACTCAATGATTTAACCATGGCATCCTGACACAGGGGCACAATTACCTCAGATATGCCGGCCTTGTTTGTCCAGTAAATTATGGCGCCCGTGATGTTTTCTGAAGCACAGAGGTGAGATGTGTGATGCTGCAATGCCTGTGCTTTCCCTGACAACCACCCAGGTGTATAAAAGGCCCATGTCAGATGGTGACATCCAGACTCAGGGACCTACTGCTGGTCCTCAACTGAACAGTCCACTCCTGGCCCCACGTGTTACTATGGAAGCTACTATGGAGGCCTGGGCTATGGCTATGGTGGCCTACGCTGTGGCTATGGCTATGGTGGCTGTGGTCTCTATGGTGGCTATGGCTGCAGGTGCTACAGCCCACTGTGATGTGGAAGGTACTGGTCCTACGGCAAGCTGCCCAGTCTGTGGGTTGCAACCTGCTGTCTTACAGAATTTCCTCACATTAAAAATTATAAATA